CTGTTCAATTGGGGAATCTCTTATTATCATGTTACTATCCATTCTGGTGTGCACACAACCATAATCCTTTGCTTCATAGGGTCACTAGGCTCAATTTACTCTAAAAGTGTAAAAGAACTAGGTGGGAGAATATAGTTGATATTACATTTTATTATCATTTGGTTTGATGACTGTTTCAGGTTATTGACTGCTTACTGTACAGCACATTTATCTCATGGAAGGCTTTCTATCCCCTGGTGCGGGATGACCCCACCTGCACCTACACCTTTATTACAGGTAAGTCACTCATACATTCTCTCTGTATAGGATCTTCGTCTAGTCATACATCCTCTCTGTCAGAGAATCTTTGTGTAGTCTTTCAGCTGTTTCCAGCGACCTCTGTCTCTGTTTTACTATCAAACAATCATTGAGCATCACTGATACATGGTTTGTGCAATGTGTCACATTAAAATGGACTAATTCATTTGCTGAATTTACTTATTCAAAACAATCATGACAGTTTGAGGATACAGTGAAATTGCTTGCTTCTGATCACTATTCTGATTGAAATTACCCAATAAACATTTATATTGTAATAAGTACCATGTATTAATTACTTAACTCAGGAAAAGGAGAAAGATATACAGTTATTTTATTCTTCCCCTTTTCCTAAATTAATCCCATATTGTCTAAATGTAGAGAGCAAACTCCAGACTGATACAGCAACCTAATGCTACAACAGAAAATAAATGAGGAAACCACTAACCAATTCTATCTTTTGGCATAGGTGGGGCTGGGGAGAAGCTGCTGATGCCTGGCACTGGGTTTCTGACAGTGGGGGCAGCGAGCAGTCTTGCCTTCTGCCAAGTGCTCAGAGAGGAGTACCCCGATGTGGCCTGCAAATTTACCCAGGTGCGTCAGTCAGTGCATTACTTAAGACTATACCAAATACAGATAACCTTAATGTTCTTTTGAGTGACCACATGAATGTACAAGAGATTGGACCACTAACCATAATATATATATATATATACAGCACATAGACCTTTTAAGATTATTCTGTATGTTACCATAAATACTGCTGACTGTGTGTTCTAGGGTCTAGTCATTATTAACAAAGAATCAGGTTCAGTATTTGTGATTTTACCTTTAAGATATTTCTCATGAGAATACCTTGTTATTAAAAGAGAAATCTGACTCTAGCCCTCATCAGATTCTACAGTCTGAAGACCACCCATTTGCTTGTTTTTGCAGGTGAAGATTGATACAGGCGTGGCGACCCCGGAGCGTCTGGCCCCTGGGTTTCTGAACCATCTGGAGCTGGGGGAGGCAGTGGCTGCTCTCGTGGAGCGACGCAGCACCTCTCACTCCATCTTCAACTTCAACAGCCCTGCAGATTTAAAAACTGTCCTCTTGGATCAACATGTTTAGATCAGTAATATATCCTGCACTCTGCTTTACACAGACCTATCCACTGTGAACTTTCAACCTTAACTTTGCACTATTATGTCATCTGCCTGATGTTTTAGCCATTTTATAAATTCTGCAACCTGTGTTATTGTTACCATTTTGTGTCCTTGTATTTTGTATCTGATGTGTTTAAATTAAATGTTCACATTTTGTGTAGTCATCCACTTTTATGACTTTTATGGTGAGCCAAATATGTTTGTATGATTGTCATTTAAACTAGGGGTGTCACATTATCGCGTTAATTGCGATAAATTAATTACAGTCATATTTAGCGCGTTATGTTTTTTAATCGCGTTAATCTCATTTTTAATCTCTAACTTTACTGTTTCTGTATGCGAGTTGCTTTATTATAAAATCTGTTTTTATGTGTTGTTGGGACAACAACACACACACAAAAAAAACACATTTATATATTTTTTTATTTCGGTAATTCCACTCATTGCCGGAAACCCACACAAAACGCGCGCAGTAAGAGCGATGTGAACGTCATGTTAACGTTGGCGGCGTCAGTCGCACAATGGACGAGGTCGAAGAGCCAGTAGAACAGAGGCAGCAGTGCACAGGTAAAAACACATTCGTGTCTTGGAAATTATTCTCTCGACGTGAAATATAAAAGAAAATAACAAATATAAAATCGCCTACAACTTAAATGTCACTGGTGAAAACAACCTGCATAGGCTCATGATGTCTGCACTACTGTCCTATAGTGACCTGCCACATGAGGGGACACGCACACAAACACACACAAACTCAAACATACACCTTCATCATCGTCATTAACCTGAGAACGCGCGGACCACGTTTCTTTCCGTAGTTACTGCGCGGACACCGACGTCCTCCCGTGCGCCGCTTACGTTTTCTCGCGTACGCTGCGTAAACCGGGCTTCCTCCTGTGCGCCTCTAAACCAGAACTAACACCAAGACTAAAACCGGGACTAAGCCAGTCCATGACTAAACCAGGTCTAAACCAGGACTAAACCAGGACTAAACCAGAACTAAAACTAGAACTAAAACCAGGTCTAAACCAGGACTAAACCAAGGACTAAACCAGAACTAACACCAGGACTAAAACCAAGACTAACCCATTCCAGGACTAAACTAGGACTAAAGTTGGACTAAAGCAGGTCTAAACCAGGACTAAAACCAGTGATTTCATATATAAAGCATTTCTCTATCAATAATATTTTTAATATGGTTAAGGAAAGACTGGACATTTTATTGTCTTTAAGTAGACAAAAGTTATGATGTTCAGATTTCCTCGTCTTTTCTACTTTACAGCAAACAGTTTCTTATTCATGGAGACTTGGGCTCAACAACCAATTTGGAGAGATTTGTTAAACAATAAATGACTTTATAAAGTCACTTTTTTTGTTCTATATCAGTCTTTTGATCTGCCACAATAATGTAATAATGAATTTAAATGAAAATACCTCAAGTTGAAGCTTTTCTCAGCAATTTTTAGGTGAGATTAAAAAGAGATTAATTAGATTAATTAATTACAGATCATAATTAATTAATCTCGCAATTTTTTTAATCGCATGACAGCACTAATTTAAACATTTACTATCTTTGATATTTGATCTACACTATAAAATAAAATATCTAGGATCAGCCCTTCAATGCCATTTTAGTATTTTATATTTATTTCTTAGCTCCACAAGTATTCAACAACATAAGATTATAGGTTAGACAGCTACATACTTCACTTAATACTTAATTGCTTATTTATATTGTAATTGAAATATAGTGAATATGAAAAAAATATTGTTTCAAATTGTGAAAATGGTAAAAATAATTTAAATAAGTTGCTATTCCATTAAAATGTAAATGTAATGATTAACAATTCTGTCTTGCTCCCATGCACAGCCTCAAAACCCAGCCCCTTCACCGCCAGCTCCCACAGTCAAATACCCGTTATGTTATTTGGGGCCCATCATATCGGTCCATCAGAACCCATTGTTTCTTTATCCATGTCCAAGCTCAGCTTCATCACAGTTCGGCGTGTCATTAAGGGACTGCCTATAGGGCCTTATTTTTGTTTGTCCAATGGCTCAATTAGAACAAATTAGAACTGACCAAACTTTTATAAAGAGAGCAACCCACTGACATAACCAGACAGTGGGGGCTCCAGATGATGACTCATCTCAGTCTAATTGGAAAAGAAAACTGGCTTTTGTTTGGCTGGGAGCGAGGGCCTACACACAGGGAGCACATGGGGCCCACAGAAAAAGTTCTATCCTGCTTACAGCATTTTCCAACATTTTCACTTATTGTCCCTTCAAAAAAAAAATCTTTCACAATGGCTTTTACCATTTTGTTGGCTAATATTGTAGTAGGGTAAAGTAGACACACCACAAATCTGCTCTGTAACTTGCCCTGGTGGCATCATCCGCTTGTCTCTATAGAGCAAAGTTTAATGCTATAATATAGAAAATTACAGATAAATAAATAGTAGCTCTTTACATAGTGCACCTTTAGGTGGGGATAGGGGATAGCTTCATAATTTAAGTTTAGAGCAAATAGAAAAACAAAACAAAAAATTATTTTACAGTTACACTTTGATGTGAGTTCTATACATCTGTAATTGCTAAAGTTTGAACAACAGCTGCTTTCCCAATCAGAAATGTATCTAAAAGTTTGATCTAGGGTTTAAAGCAGAGGCCTATTTGACGGAAGAATCAGATTCCAGAATGATGCACCCAAGATCACACTGACAAAATTACACCACTACCTCTATTTAGAGACTAGATAGTTTCCAAAGGTGTATAATATTTTCAAATTCATTTTTTATTCACATTTTAGTTTGATCTCTCTCTGTGCTGTATTGCAAAGCTCACAAGAGCACTCCATAAGCCCATGCTGATTGTTAATGAGCATCAAAATGAGCCATACAATTTTAAAGTCTTTGAAAACATTGACCCAGAGTCCATGGACCCAAGGAACTGTGGGCATCGCTCAGTGAACTGGAAACAGACAGTTGTATGGTTTAGAGAGAATGGTACCAGGGGAGAGGCACTGTGCTGCCCAGGAGGGTCCTACTGCCATCACAGCTGATTCATGTTGGCATGTTATTTTTTATTCTATTCACAAACTTCCATTAATATTGAACCATGTGGCCATCATAACGTCCAACTTTCCATAGTTGTTTTACAGAGTCCCACGACACTCACTGTCTGATCCAGGAATGGACTGATATGACAAACCAAACAAAAGAACACAATTACAATACAAAGTACCTCATCAGAGAAACAGATGCATGTGTTGGGAGAGTATTTGATTCAGACTCTGCTCCTCGTGGATGATGACACAGCATATAGATGGGTCATTAACAAACTGAATTGAGCCTTCAACAGAAATATACAAAAACAACATGAATAAACAATTAAAACATTGACAATAATAAAGTTAGAAGTTGTTTTATTGACAGCCCTCCCAACCCCCACCCAAATCCATCTTTAAAAGTTGCCATATATTCACAGTTGAATAAAACAATTCACATTTGTAGTCTTTTACAAATTGTCATTGAGTCCTGTTACAAGTAGCACTAACCAGATCTTTTAGACAAACAAAGAGAACATTAAATATTTATGGTTAAACTCGCATCTAAAGGTTACATTCATTTCCAGTGTGTAAATAAACATTTAAAATGCATAGTAGTTTTCGAGTTCAGAAGAAGTTCTTAAAATTCTACAATCCTTAAAATGACAGCTTCTCAAATCATAAGCAAACATCTTCCCTCATCATGTATTCATGCATTCATAGACAACTACAAAGCTTTCTTATTCATAGAAATACAAGAGCAATAGCAGTTTAATTACTACACTGTTGGATTTTTCCGAATGAGAAATATGCACATAACTGATCAAAAGCTCTCGACATTTATCCCTTTATATGACATACAGAGGGCTTTTACCACTGAGATGAAAAATATGCTGGAAATTATGTTTTAAAGGCATGTTCATAAATAACATGCACTCGACTCCTGAATGCGGTCCCAATATCCTTATTTTAGTAATACACTGTAGCATCTCAAATCAGTCAAAGTAACACCAAAATCAGTGTTTCAAATGTTGTACATTGTAAATAATGAAAACATTTAAAATGTAGTCAGGCGACCGTTCCCCATCACAGTAGTAGAAAATATCCACATATTTGCATAAGCTTCGCCTAATACAAAAATAACACAGTAAATAAAAAAGCTGCTTTACCTCCATATAGTGGTTAAACCATGTTGACGTCAAAGTTACAGGGAACATGAAAATAATTTCTATAAGAGCCTGTGCAAATATAGTTCATATTTTTGGCATAAATATGTTCCCAGGCATGTGGCATTGTGAAAAAGACTGAAATGGCAGGAAATCAATATTTAAAAATATCATCCAAAAAAACAAATGAAAAATGTAAACTAAAGTGCAACAGTACACAGCACCCACACAAACATCCCATAAAGTCCAAAAAACAAGTGCTAAAGTATCAGTTAACAACATGTGTGATGAGAGTTGAGCCATCACCTGGTGCACATGTCCATCTTGAAATGTCTTCACAAACTATCAAAGTGACAACATTCCCTAACACAAACAAATTAACAAACGCAAATGAAATGTTACTGCCACAGTCAATTTGGAAACACAACTGTTCCTTATCCTTGTGTGGTTCTGAAGATGTTTAGTCTTTTGAGTCTTCACATCACATAGGTTCCCCTTGTCATCTGCAGAGGGCTTCTTCAGTCTCCCAGCCTTAAAAGGTCCTATATTACACAAAATTGACTCTTGTTAGCTTTGAGCCATGTTATAATGTTGTAATCCTTGATTATTAGTCTGTCTACAGCTCCAAAGCTCAAAATGCTCTGTTCCACCTTGTGATGTCATGAAGCAGTAGTTTTCAAGTTAACAGCTCCTTTCACTTTTTGTTCAGTACAGATCAGCAATTACTGGGCTGAAAAGATCCAAATCATTATAGTGAAGGTGTATGGAGTAGAGCACTCCCTGTATTACCACATGACCTCACAAGATTCAACAGATGATGTCATGTTTGAGAGAATTACTCATCCTAAATATACAAGAGTTGTGTGTTAAACATACGTGAATGAAACAAAATACAACTCCAGGTAGGTTTGTGGTGAGGAAACAACATCATGACCTCAGATCAGATCAGAAAATAGCGTAATATAGGCCCTTTGAACATAAACATTTAACCAAACTACAATGCCTTTTTTATCAGTGACTTTATTACTGGTGAACTGGCAACGTGGTTTTGAACATGCTGCAATCTAAGTCTAAATTCAGAAAATAGCCATAGGACAATTGGAAACCACAAATAATGTATATTAATGTATTTTATTCTAATTGTACAGGGCAGGTGCAGAGAAACTTTGACATCCTAAACAGCACTACACAGCTGTTAACTTATTTTTTTGTAAATAGCTTTCCATTATGGAGCAAATATTTAAACTTGTTTATTTTTTCTACTCAGTGAGTGACAGGGCACTGACTCAGAGGAGGACCACTCCAAACATTTGGGCTCCAGTGGAACCATTGTGTCAGTGGAGTTTGGGCCAGCGCGGTTAGTGCTGTCACATGTTATAAAGTACATTGTCATCGTGTCCCGTCTCGGTGAGGGGCTCATCCGTCTCAGTCCGCTTCACCTCCTCAACGCTCCAGTCTAAACAACAGGACTGCTGCTCTGACTTCAGTCTGTTGTACACATTGGGGTCAAGTACTTGACTGTGTTTCTTAACTACATTTGCTCAATATAAGTTACAGACCAGGGGCCTCATTTATAAAAACTGCGCAGGAGTTGTCGTAAGTTAGTGCGTACGCCTAGTAGCTACGACAAGGCGTGCGCCACGCAAACTCCATATTTAGAAAACCCACCGCACGCACCAAACCACGCAATCTTTGCTTTATAAATCCCACCTGCAACTACAATTTGCGCACGTAAACCTACGTCACGTCACGCCCTCTCCACACCTCCACCTCACCATAAAAGGAGCATGTAAAGTGACTCGTGAATGAGATTTCCCTAAACATGAGCCGATAATCAGTGGGTTTGACCGAGACACGAGGGACAGAGGGAGGGGGACGCTCCACGCAGCACCACGTGATCACGAAAAAGACTTTATTAAAGACTTTATTAAACCTTGTTTAATAAATAAATACAAAACTAAAAGTGACAATGACTCATCTGTTCATTTAATCATTTTTTATAATATTTAGGCAGCACATCTTTGCAGTAAAGCCCATGTGTTTTTTCGCTGTTTCAAGAGTTTTATCGCTATATTTTTAAGTCTGTCTATGAAGTGTGTGAGGACTGGCCCTGTATTTATGCATATACACGTAGATACGTGCACGCGCAAATTATGAGCGCGTGCGAGAGATTCAGATGCCCTCCCCTGGAGAGGGAAAGGAGCGAGGGAGGGACACGAGGATACGAGGACACAGATTTAGCATGAAACACATCAGATACAGATGTTATTCTGCCAATTATAGTCCACACGAAACATCCAAACTGTTGAACCTGTGAGTGTGGGTCTGGGTCGGGACGGGCACGGGCATTATTCTGTTCTTCATACAGTCAGAGAGCAGCTCTCATGTGCAAGAGTTCCCCATTACACAAAAATGCAGGGAAGATTTTGGTTCGGGTCAGGTTCGGGTAGTAGGCTTCGTGTTGTCCGCAGACTCGGGTCACTCTGACGCTCGGTGCGTAAAGACTAAAGTAAAAGTGTTAAAGTTGCGTTCATTAAATCAAAGCCTGGCTCCTGCTGCATCCAAGGGAAGAGTTTTTCTCTCAGGTTGGGTCATTATTTCGTCCTCTGTGTTGGTCACAGACTGTGTTCTATAGAAGTCTATGGTCGCGGTGTGGACTGTGGGACTCTGCGCTACACCGAGTCCGGGAACGTGGCCGCGCTCGTGCACGAGTGTCAAATGTATAATATTGTGGAGAATAATGAGTGGAATAAACAGCCCTTCTCCGTATTTTGGCGAACCAAACACTTAAATTCACAAATCAGACGGTAATTCTTCTATATACGTGGATTTTCTGATCAAACACTTCCTCAAACTCTGTTCACTTCTGCTTCTCTCCACGAGTGTCGCTTTTTCCCGTGTCTCCAGACTTTGCGTAGAACTTACAGGAGGTCCCGAGTTGGCGTACAGTTAAGCAAAGAGCCACACCTTAGGCGAGTTTTATAAATACCGCGGTTGGCGTAGGAAGCGCGCACGCACGGATTTTTGCGTAAGCAAGCTTTATAAATGAGGCCCCAGCCCCACTAGTGTCATTACTGGTCTAACAGAGAGCTTGACAGTTCTATCAGTTCTATCTCTAAGTTCTATCCAGTCTCTATTTTTTAATAATAAGTTTAGTTATCTTAGGTTCGGAACATAAACTGTCTATAATAGTACTGTGTAAATGGACATGGCTAACACATTAGCCGCCGTGTTCCATATAGAAAGTGAGCACGTGGCCACTTCCATTAAAGTTGACTTTAGAGTGAAAAATTGTCACCGTTGTCTCTGGAAGTCCTGCAGTGAGTCTTGCCATTTGGGTCTTAAAATGTTCATATTAACCCGCTCTATATGATCTTTGTGTTTTTATTTCGCAATTTTTGTCCTTAAATAAATTTCCCCTTCTTAATGTGGAATTTGGCTCCAAATGCTCTCCTATAACTGCTAGCCTCATGAGCTTCATTTGACTGGAATGGAAAGTTATGGGCTACGTCACACTTCCGTAGTCCACTTCTTTATACAGTCTATGGTTCTGGAGCAGGACTACGCATATGCATCTTCCTGTCCCTAACCTATTTATACCACCCTCTCCCTTCCTTTCAGTCTTCATAATAAAAAATGCATAATAAAGTCATATTGACTGTATTCTCAGATTGAGCACCATGCTAGTGAACTTGTTTGTGATTACCTGTTTGAGTGGGCTGTGGGACTTTCTGGCATGTAGTGACTCTACATAAGACAGGGCACTCTGCATGGACGTGAGACAATAGCCCTCCTCTCCTATCAGGTATCTGAAGGGAAATATCACAAATGCTTTAGGATTTTATATTACAATGAACAATGTAATTTAAAATTACATTTAAAATGTCACTGTTCACCTCTGGGGCACCACTTCATACTCCAAGCCACACATCCCCACTTAAAAATGTCATTGTGCAAACGTAAATCGGTATGACATCTCTGTTTAATATTGATTTTGAGTGTATCATATCTTATTATTTTATTTATTTTTAGCATACAGCACAAGCCTGCTACCTCTGTTACCCGTCTCCAGATAAGCAGCTAAAGATGGACTGTTATTGTATGGTACATCGTTGTTATTTAAAAGGTGCACTATGTAACTTTTTGGCTGGGGGTCTGTCACCTGTTTGTTTCTGCAGATATGTCATTGCTGACATTAAACAACTCTATCTTACATTTATGAAATTATAGGAGTTTCTATATCTAAAAATTCCTTGAAAAACAGGAATTCTGACTGTGAGCAGGGCTGCCTCTCCACAGATCTTCCTTACTATATTCATCCTTGACTCACCCTTCATGAATGAACTCTTCAAGAGCGGCACATTCAGAGACCAGCTGAGGACACTGGGAGCGCAGAGCCACATAAGAAAGAATCGGCAACAAGTCATCTGCACCACTGAAACACGAAAAACACAAAAGATGTCATCTACAATTTTTAAACCTCAAGATAGGCCTGTCATCATAATTACTATATCAACTTATCGTTCAATATATAAAAGCAGGAATATATATTGTGGGTCCATATTAACGTGTGTACAATTTCTTTACACTAGTGGGGAGATTTTTGTTATATTTACGTAAAATAAGCAAGATTTGAGTTGTAGAGGGTAGAATAACTTCTGTGGCTAATTATTGCTTCATTCTGCTTTTTATTTATTTACTGCAGCTCATGTCTATTAATGATACTGTCTATTTAAAATGGTTTACTTGGATAATCCTGCTTTATGTCAGTGGCATAAAGTAGATTCAATATGATCATTTATTGCAATATTTCTCTATAGCATTATAACACGCTTCAAATTTTGTTATAGTGACATTTCTACTTCAAGAGACATATCCTTTGAAGACTTCATCGAGTCACAATTCAGGGCTCTTTTTGCAGTTTAAGGCCACAACTAACAATTATTTTTGGAGTCCATTAGCCAAATGAGGAGATATTTTTGTGATTTGTGTATATTTTAAAGTGACATTTTAACTAGAAAACCAACAAAAGGCTTCTAAATGTGAAATACTTATAAACAAGGTGAATTATTGATCAAAATAACAATTTTTTTTTTCTTTTTTATTTAATAATGCAGCTTTTTGTTGTTTTAGTGTCTGTATAATTCAGATATTGACTATTAACTAAAATGCTCAACAATTGTTTTAACAGTCACAATTATTCAGATTAATTGTTGCAGCCCTATCAGTCCCACAAAAAAATAAAATAAAAAAAATAAATCCAAACTCTAGTAATAAAGATTTCTGCATGCTAAGATGCTAAGAAACAAGCTACTCTATCTACAAGAATGCATCTAACAAAAAAAACACATTTCTTTGAATATTATATTTTATATCTAACATATTTGTGAGGCCTATAATGATGAACAGCTGACAGAAAGCAGGAGCTTAACGATAAGCATGTTTGGGGATATGAATGATTAAGCTGTTTTCTCTGTAGCCAGGGTCTGTGGGGAGGACAAATTGCAGTTTGACCTGATGATAACAGATAGCATTCTCCTGGTGTGCAGAGAGGGAGCATTTGTTTATGAGCCCTTACACGCAGACCTGACTGCAATGGTGAGTTTGCGTGAGAATAGGGGCCTTGGTCTTCGGACAAGCCTGATCCATGTCACCGGATACCTCCCTCTGGCTGATTCTACAAGGTGTGGAAGGCTCCAGTAACCACTGAGCAAGACCGCACAGTGTCTAAGATCACTGCCCCGCCCACTTGGATTAAAACTGTGATTTCCACATACCAATCAATCCAGTATGGGTTTATTCCTTCCAGTTTACTAGAAAGTGTATGGAACATTTGAAACTGGTGATAAGAGTTATAGATCTATAGGACATAGTGTACATGAGTTTAATCTGCCCCATTTTAGTTGTATATTTTTAGCACACAACTTTTGTGTAGACCATGGTATAATCCTTCACCATCATTAGCAATAGGTGCTTGTGAAATTGATTGATATTTCCAAAAAGAATGAGGACATAGAAGGAAACAGAGATGTCCTCAGTTAAGATTAAGTTAAGATTAAGTTAAGATTAAAAATGTTGGTTTTCAAACCAACATTTCTTAACTGGAGGAGTCCATTCCCACATTCCCACTTACTCCAGAATATTTGAATATTGTTGTCAGTACACCTCGATTGTGACATATCAGTGCATTACAGTGTCTCAGTGCAGACTGTTTGTTTATGAACCTCTCACGCAGACCGGTCTGATGCTTGATTGCGTGAGAAAGGGGGATTTCTAGTTCAAAACTGAGCCCAATACATGTAACAATATCCTCTCCTCCTGTGGCTTTTAACTAGGAGTGGAATTAACTCCTGAGATTCAACATTATACTAAAATATTTAGATTTATTTGTTTCAAAGGAATGTAAACTTGTGTTACAGTTATTATTCCAATACTTCATAAAAAAAATATTTATCTTAAAATATCAATTATTCATGTTATGGCCATGTCAGTATTACAATGGGAATATTTGAAATACATTTTCCATGCATTCCTGTCCTTCCTTATTCCATGTCCTCAAGTGCCCTCTTTTAGGGGCTCATGCAAACCTTTTGTCCCCCTCTTTAACTCCTCACCAATTACACAGACCTCCTCGGTCTCTGAGGCGTATTGGATCCACTCGAAAACTAGACACCACGACCCACTTTCAAAATGCTCAGGAAGCAACACTATGGGGGGCCAATAAAGCAACAACAGTCAGCGCTGTGGTACGCCTGACAGCGTACTGATGAGAAGTGACGGAGCAGCTACACAGGCCCCTCTTCATATTATGTACTGGCTACATTTCGGGACAAGTGCACACATGTTTTGAGCAGTGGGACATATACTTACATGGCTGCAGTTTTGGGAGTTGAATCTGTTTCATGTAGACATCTATAATCTTCTGCACAGGCACAAATGAGCCGCAATGTCCTCACTGTGGTGTGAGATACAGTATATTACCTTCTTAAAACAAATAACTGATCATGGCCAAGTTTAAGGACGCACCAATGCAGTCAAGTTTCCTCTGTGGGCAGAAGTCTTTAATGAGCAATCTGAGCTCCTGCACTGCAGACTCATACGGGTAAGAGCCCTGCAAGGTGCTCCCGTTTGGAGGGAACAGTTTCAGTGGGACCCCAACATCTCCAGGTGACGCATCTCCATACAGCCTCACACTGGCTTCAAACGCCAGCTCTCTCTCCCTGTGCACCCTCCTGGGACAAAAACAATGCCAAAAGAAAAAAAATTATAATGACATGAATTGCAATTCAAAAGTCCAATGACATTACAGAGATACCACTTGACTAACTTGGCTGACCAATATACCAGGCAATGCCTTTTGAAATTGTTACTAAAACTGAAAAGGTTTCCTTAAGTACAATTAAATAAAAGAATCTCTGAAATAAAAAAAAACTTATACAAGGACTGTACCTATTGCTACTTTGATGATAGCAAGAGCAACACTGCCACATGGTGGTCACAAAGAATAAGACAAATACAACCAATCTGACAGACTTGGGTTTGTTACCTGAAGAGCGCCATCAGGGCACTCCAAAGCGGAGTGAAGAAGGCCTCTTCGATGCAGGCCAGACACAGGTCCTTGGAGGTGGCTGTGTTCAAACACTCAAAGGAGAGCAGACACAACGACAGGAGCTGCTCTGAAAAATACAAGCACAAAGTGTTGACATTTAACTTCCTACAATGGGTCCACTAAACAGATCACACTAACATTGAAGCAGTGGAGCTGGATGGCACCATACATATGACTTACCAATGGCTATGTGGATATCTTTAACAATGGCCTTGAGGTGATCTTTGATAGCCCTCATCTCCATCTCCTGGACGTGTACATCACTGGGGTCTAACTGAACAGACTGAAGTTCTGGGTTTAAACTATAGTCATCTGTACTGTCTTGAGGAGGCACCCAGTCCAGCTGGGAAAGGAACTGTTCCAGATCCTCAAAGGAGTTCTCCCGGTCTACTGTGGTCTCCCCCTCCACATGGTCTGAGGGGATGTGGTGGTCCTGACAGTGTGAAGGTGACAGTGAGGGTTCGGTGCTAAAACTGTGGCTACAAATGCTGCTGCTCAATCTCCTCTCTGGCTTCTTTGGGGTATCTGCAAGAACATCACAAACACAGGTAAAAAGCTAAAGAAACTTTGATATTGGATTATTCTTTTTGGGAGCCTTAGTTATACTGTATACACACTCAATAAATTAATACACTTTATTAAAAAGAAATGAAATAAGAACATACCTGGCTGTAGGAGGTTTTGGGAGCTGAGTGATGCTCTGAGCTCCACTCCAGGACTCTGGAGCACACCTTTACTGACGATGGGGTAGACCCTGTTGTAAATGCGATACTGATATTTCCTCAGAAGCTTTAGAACAGGGTGATCCGCCTGACTGAAGGGACACAAATGTATTAGTGTGTAAGCTACTCATCAATTAGGTTTCCCACTCATTTGTTAGACCGACACTACTCAGAAACAAGTGCTTTATTCAGAACAACCAGATTAATCAAAACTTTTCATATATGGCTTTATCACCAATATTCAATGAATACCAAAATATAAAAACCCTCACTGTGAAGAGTAAAAAGATTTTCTCATTCACACTATAACGAACTGGAATGATTAATACAGTATGTTATTTGCATGCGTCACTCAGCTTACCATATTTTATGTCTATAGGGCGCTCTGGATCATAAGGTGCACTGTCATTGAATTGTCTATTTTCAAAATTGCTTCACATATAAACCGCACTGGACTATAAGGTGCATTAAACGAAACACAACAGTTAGATAAGTCAGTCAAACTTTATTTAACGCATTCACAACAACTCTCAATTTTGTTCAATAGTAACGCGTAAAAAAATACTGTCTGAGACCGCTAAATTGTTAGTGTATTCACAGTAACTCATAATTGTTCAAACAGTTGGGTGATTACGGCATCCAGCACGCCCGCATCCCTCTCGTCATTATCCGAGTCAGTGTTGTTACTGTTACCTGGCAGTTCAGTGATGATTCCGGTCTTGGTGAAAACTCGGACCACAGTTGATACTGATCCTTAGCCCAGGCGTCCATGATCCATTGGCAGATAGTGGCGTAAGTAGCTCGTCACTGTCTCCCTGTCTTGGTGAATGTGTGTTCGCCTTCTTTCATCCACTGCTCCCACGCAGCTCGCAGTTTAACTTTATAATTGCCTTGACAGGTGGCATTTTGATATTGAAAGGAATCACAGTATGTATTATTCCGCGATGCTCCTGACTACGGTAGCCGTAATGCTGCAAGTGGTGCGGCTTTGTAGTTTACTAAAGTTGAACTAAGACATCCCAATAAATTCATATATAAGGCGCTCTGGATTATAAGGCACGTAGTTGTTTTTTGATTAAATTAAAGGCTTTTAAGTGCGCCCTATAGTGCGGAAAATATGGTACACTGATTAGGTCAAATGTTTATGAGGCAGTAATCTTACCTGAGCAGGTAGGAGACTAGCTCACTCACTAAATTAATATTGTCAGGATTCATTTTAATCTTGGCTTTCCACAGTTTTGGCCAGTCCTAAAAAAAAAAGGGAAAACTTGTGTACTGTATAGCAATACTTGGGTTAAGGAACATTATACATTTACACATCACAGTGGTTACTTACATGGTCTTGTTCATATTCAAGCACGTTGGTGTAAAGAATCCTCTGCTCCTGTTCCTCTGCAGTCATGGCCCCAGATGCTGCAAATCTCCTAATGAACAAAGATAATAGGCTATTATTATGAAAATTCTATCTGTTTATCTGATCCCTAAAGAGAAAAAATTACCCCAATTTTAAATGTTTCTAAACCTGCTGCAGCCATAGATTGACACTAACTACATCACTCAAATGAAGCTCGGATGCTAACAGTTACAGGAGCGAATTTGGAGCCAGCCTCCATATAATGAATAGGATTTTTTCTCAGAGCAAAAAACAAACAAACAAACAAAAAAACCCCACCAGGATCATGTCGAGCAGGTTAATATGAACATTTTAAGAAAAAATACGACGGGGCTCACAGCAGCAGTTACAGAATAGAGAGGGACGACAGACGACAATATTCCAATGTAAGTCAATGGGAGCCAGAGTCAGAGGGAGCCAGAAGAGCCTGCATGTGAACTTCTTATTTGGAACGTGGCGACTAGCGCATTAGCCATGTCCATATATATATATATATATATAGTCTATGGTTGGAGCATAAACAATGGAAAATTAGATTTCAAATCCCACCTAGATTTTTTGGGGTAAACATAAGGAGGAGTAAAGCTGCTGTAGAAAGATTTACATAATTCCCATTTCGAGTTTGAAGCAAATATCACAAAGAAGTATTAATTTGATATTTTTGTTTTACTTGTTTTGAGTGCAAAAAGATTGTTCCCAGAATGTTTGATTTACCAATTAATATGAGGCTTATAGCTTCATTTTTTACAGAAGCTTGAGAGTTTCCTTTTATCAGATGGTTGACAAAATGAATTAATGAAGAATGGACATCTGAATTTATGTTGTACCTGTTGGCTTCTTCCTGCAGTCGTAGCCTTCTTTCTTCCATTTTTCTTTGAAGCTATCAGCATAATGTTAAGGAGAACTCACATTAAATAAATATACAAATATAATCTACTACACATTGATTAGTCCCATGACACAAATCTGGGTGATCATAAGGTTGTAAACTGTAAGGATACAGCGTCCTGTCTGGCTCTGGCAATAATGAGGTTCTCCATCATCTGCCTTTGGAGAGACAGTGTCTGCAACAACAAAACCACAAAACACAGGCTTCAGCGATGGGCAAACTATTGTGCTAATACAACAAATAGTAAAACAAATTGGCCCATTTTAACCTCCTCATTTTCCTGCTTCACCCACAGCATTATGCTACCAGTTCTCAGGTGCCAATTAAACTTTCTGGTGGGAGGTTTTGTCAGGTGTTTCCTTTGAGATGTTACCGGCTTTCCTGGAATGGACCATAGTATCTTGTATTAATTCAATTGCAGCTGTCACACTGTGGAATATACCAGGCACAGCAATCAATGACTCAATGAATCAATCTCCATGGAGACAAACAGATGAATATCTTCCACCAAAAAAAGTCACTTAGTGCATCTTTAATGTTGTGTCTCTTATGGTTTTCTTACATACATACGATATGACAATAAAGCATTTTCAGTGACAACCAAATATCATGCATGCAAGCAGACGCGAGAAACCTTAATTTACACATGAGCTCATCTGTAAGGCTCCAAACCTGACACTTCTCTATACAGGTTACGGGTTTGGTGCAACTTGTATTAGACAGCACAAAAGTAGTAATCCTACATTGAATTCACGATGCAAGACAGACTCAAAACAACGTCGTGTAGAATCGTTTTGTCACTTTCTTAAATTTACCTTGAAGAAAGTCTTGAGTTTTCTCCAATAATTACGCAGCTCCACTTGACTACTTTGACGTCGAAACATTTTTCCAGGTTGCGTGATGTTTTTCCGTTAAAACAATAAATAAACTAAGTAAAACTTTGGCCGTGTTTAGCGAACAGCAGAAGTTGGTCATTGGCGTTGTGCGTTTAGGTCACTATTTAGGCCCCGCGTAAAGCAAAACAGGCACGATCAGTGGAAAATTAAAACAAAGTTCCGCCGCACTTTGGTTTAAACAGGAGGCTCCGGTGCTGCAGATAGTGCAGATAGTGCAGATGCTGCAGACTGAAGCCTGTGCTTCATGTGTTTCACGTGTTTCACGTGTTTCATGTGCTTTGACTATAGATCCGTGGCTTTGACTTCATCACCGTTCATCAACACCGTACCGGAAGTACTGCACTTCAAAGTAAAAGCTCATGGATGCTCACTCAAAGGTTCCCTAAAACGGAACATTTGACTAAACGTTTTGGTAGTATTTAAGGATGTAGGTCTCATAATAGATAAATAATGATTTAGCAAGTAACATTCCGATGAAACTAGTTACTTCAATTCCAAGCAGAAGCTGAAAAATACAAAATACACAGTCTGGAGTAGGGGTCCTTCAACGCTATAGCCCTGCCGTAGAGCTACAGCAATACTTTAAAATACGCAACTGTACACACCTTGTCTACCATGAATGTAGTGAGTGAGTCGTGGTGGTAGGAGGGTCAAAGGTCAATGGCACAGTTTGGCATCTTTGGCTATAATAATAACTTAAACCATCAATTGTGGAGTGAATGAATAGTGACTACAGCACAAATATGCAGAGTTATACTGCACTGACACTATATGTCCCCAGCATCTAGCAAGAGTGTTGCAAAGTCAAAATTACTGTCACCTTCTGCATGACTCACTCCTGATTAAAGGGCTGCAGGCAATAAACAGCAATGCCATTCACTCAGCACAAAATGATTAAATACTGAAATTCTCAACACTGAAAAGTGCAAAATAATGAAAGAAAAATACATGTGTTTGCCTTTAAAATTAAGAATATACAGTCTGTAGTTTTGCAAATAATTCAGAACAATGACAATTGAGTTATTTCTTTGTAATACTGTCTCTTTGAGCTAAACATTTCTTCCTTCTTCTTCAAGTAAGAAAACAAGTATTAAGGTTAGGGGTGTCACCAGATCACTGGAAGGTTGCAGTTATGGAAACAAATCAATTTCCTCTGAACTAGTAAATACTGTTGTTCCTTTCAGTAAGACACTTACGTGGCTTTAGTGATTAGCTTTAGTGACCATGCAAATAATCAGCTGCAGGCAGAGTCCAGGTGTCAGTAAAAGCAGTCATGTAACACATATTTCCTTTTGCTACCCTAAAACCTCTTACCAAAGAAGTCTTCTGATATGCCTGACCAGGAGGGAGTCGAGCCAAGCGGGCCTCATAATTAGCTTTTAACTTCTGGTTTAAACGAGATGCCTCTTCAATGGGTGTCAGCTCTCTAAAACACAAAACAAAAGGGATTTTACAACACTGATGAAAATGTGTACCAATTTTGTAATCCTAACAATACAAACAGCAGTAAATAATCAATAATATAAATGACTAGGCAAATGATTTATGTATGTTGTTCTGCTCATGTAATATGAGAAGCAAGAGCACTTTGTTTCTCCACTCTATTTCGTGCGTTACAGCCATAGTACCTGGAGGACACAGACTCAGGGAATACAAGCAAAGTCTACACAGAAATTCCCCACCCCATCTGCAAGGCAGACCCAGGACCGTCTTGTTGTGAGTTATATAACTAATTGTTTTACCACAGTACTGCCCAATTTACAATGTCTTGGCATATGTACAATGCCAAGATTTCACTGAAACTTATCCATCATTGGCCTGGTAGGGCTGGAAGGATTCATACATTTTTGGAAGCTCCATTATGTCATGTACTATTAAAGATTAATGTAACATTGCTAAGTAGACTTGTCACGAAAACAAATTCTGAAGTATGAAATAATGCTATAGAAAAATATTGCAATAAACAGTAATACTGAAACCACTTTATGCCTTTACAAAAGCAGGATAATCCCAGGAAACCATTTTTAAATAGACAGTATCATTAAAAGGCTTGAGCCGCAACAAATAAATAGCAGGATGAAACAATATTTACTCATATAAATAATTTATTCAACCAGCTCAAATCTGACATTAATACATAAAAGTGGCCGAAATCTCTCCAATATTGAAAAATAAATTATACACACGATTCATAGATCGAACGATATTATAATTATCGTGACAGGCCTACTGCAGGTCATCGTACAACTGTGGTATATGTTTTACTCACTGAATATGAAGGATTTGTTAGATAATAGTATTATACAAGCACAACTTTGAAACACTGAAAGCAAGAATTCCTCACATTTTTTACTCAGATCTTACTTTTTGCTTGAATCTTCTAACTCCATTGTCTGCAGTTTCTGGAAAACCTCTGGTGGCATGAAGGGTGAGGGAAGCCCCCCACCATCAGACAAGACCCTTCGATGACTCTTTGTTGGGCTACTGGACTTGGGCCTTTTGTCAACAGAAGTATTGGAGGGGGACACTGTGATAAGAGGATTAAACAGACAAAAAAAAACAACGATTGGTTTAAAGAGTTGTCATGTGGCACAAGATTGGCCAATTTTCATTTGAAGCTACGGTTTGGGAAGTGATTGAGTCCTATGAGGATTAGAGGGGCAGAGCTGACCTGTGTTTGCAGCACTAGTCACAGGGGTTATGGAAGGTTGTGTGCTTTCTGATTGACCCACAGAAGAAGCACAGGGGGTGGGGGTTTGAGCAGGGGGTTCTGTGCTCTTCTCTATAAAGGACTTGGCTCTCTCCAGGCACTGCTCAGCCAACCTTAACATCCGCTCCACTTCCTGCTTCTGATCATCCGCCTCTGAAGAGAGATGAGTGAATCACATTTGTAATTATGTGAGCATTGGGTGGGTGATATTGACAAAAATTTATATCGTGATATATTTTGGTATAATTGCAACGAAACTGTTTGGACAGTTCAACAGAATTGTGCAAAATGCTTTAGCTGAGGTTTAAATATCTGACAAATTAATAGTAAATTTACCCACAAATTTGCAGAAAAGAAAACACATAGCCTTATTTGAATGGATACAATACAATTTTGCTTTTATTGTTGCATTTTGAGATATGATATTAGATGATGGGATTGTTTTTTTTATATTAAAACAGAAACAAATAACAATGTTGTAAACATGTTGAGTTGGACTGGATGGAAGATAATGCAAATTCCTTGTAAATACCACAGCTAATAGGACTTGCCAGAATAATGTGTCCAGTGTCTACAGAGCCAGCTAGTCCTGAAATCAAGTTCAGGTTTATTTGCTGAATAGTTGTATCGACATTTAACTAACTGCACTATGTAAATGACAGTCACGCTGTCTGGTTTAGTCAGAGTGCTTACTTTCGGACGTGGCTTCTTCTAGCAGTGCATAGGACAGGAAGTGAATAATCCGAAGGTACTCACAGTAGGCTTCCTGCAATGTCAAAAATAAGAACATTTAGCACATTTTAAGACCAGAAACAACTCGAAACTGGTGCTTTTATGAAGAGTTTGGGTGGACGTTGAAGGATGTTCAGGCTTTTACTATCATGTCAGGGACCACATAGTAAAATTACACACACATTTTTAAAGTCAAAAAAGGAACAAGCATTATATTGAGCAAGAGATTATTATTTAGGCTTGTGAAGGGCGATGAAATTTCAGAAAAGGGCAAAAGGTCTTTTATGAAAACCAAGTGAGCCTGCCAATAAATTTAATAAAAGTAATCTATGGACTACAGGACTATAGGCTAATAATAATTACTTCGAGACTGGACAGCAGCATAGGTATTTTATACGGGGTGTTTTCCAGCTCTGTGAGGGACATCACTGGAGGCCACCCGTGTCTCTTGACAGCTGTCCACAGTCACAGGTTTCAGCCCGGTGTAAAAAAGTCTACCGGAGCTGAGAGACATGCATTCGGTCCTTACCTGGTGTTTATTCCCCGCGTCCAGTTGAATAGCAGATTTGGCCATCTTCATGGCATATTGAAGCGGCTTTACGCCACTGTCAGCTGTCGCCATCGCCAATGTTTACTTCTGCAGTGTCTCTGACTCTCACTCGCCCCATAGACTGGATCGGAGTGTTGCCGCGGGGACAGTCTTATGCCCTCTGCTGTATCGGAGGATACATGATAGAAGTATTCTACACTAAAACTATTAAAGTCTAGTTTCAAAATAATCTTAATTTTATTGAAATAATTTTGTGGTTATTTGGATGTTGACCACTAAAAAACAAACAAACAAACAAACAAAAAAATAAAAAATAAGTTCATCAATAAAAACCTTTGGCATCAGTCTTTGAGTCGTTGACTCAAAGACTGTTCCCCTTCTGTCTCATGTGAAACATCTGAAGTCTGATCAAACCAGGACAAGATGACACTTTGCTCCTGATCTGAGGTGCTCTGGGTCTTTCTGGAAAGGGCTTTGAAGCAGCTCATCCCCTTAGTTGGAGTCATGCTTTGTGAGGACAGCTCTTAGTGAAACTGGACTTGGATCACAGACATTCTCAGCACAGCATGGGGCTTCTGTGTGTCTCAGATGAATTGTCCCAGTCAACCATAAGCAGATGGATATATACAGATGGAAGAAAGATTGCAGTGCACTATGTAACTTTATCATTGGAGTGTCTGCTTGTTATTGTCTTTGTCAAGAATCTTTATGGTTTTATATTACAGTAAATTTCAAATCTTTATTGCCATACTGTGAAACATTCCAGACAAAGCAATAACATCTCCATGATGTCAAGCTGGTAACATAACCACAAAAAGTTATACAGTGCACCTTTAAAGAACAACTTGAATGCAAAATCATATTTTAGAAAAAAAAAAAAAAGTCAGTTTTAAATTATGCGTTAGAGGAGGATCTATCTTCCTGATAGCAGAGCAGACTTGAATACAATGAGGAGGATGAGAAGGCCTGGAGGATTATACTTGCATAAGCTGTGGACAAAGGGAGATTTGGTGAAAGGATTTAAGGTTTATTGATATACATTATAGATTTTAGCAGGTTAACATACTTCTAAATGAAAAAGCTTTATTCACATGGAGCATGCAAAAGACTTGCTCTTAAATCCTAAATTATAAACATGAAATAGACCTACATTTAAGTAACTGGATGCAGTGTGTGTCGTCTATCTGTGGTGCCCACCTCATATGCTGTTGTATCAGGCAGGTGGTCATACCTTATTTCACAGCAAATGTTCATATCAGTATTTTGTACAGAACAATGGGTCTCATTCATGAATGTTCCATTTTAAAAATGATGAAAATGTGCTGTTCTCCAAAAATAGCTAGTCAAAGATGCACTAAGTCAAACCAGTATTAAACCAGTTAAAGCTTTGCATGTGTCCTTTCACAGTTTAGCCCTGCTTCTTGTCATCTCTGCACTCATTATTCATGCGACGCTGCTGTGTAACCCAATCCTTCATGTATCTTTTTCTCATGGTTTATTGGATAGCTGAAATATTTATACCAACATTGAAATATTTATTCTTGTGATTATGTGACCCTGTGTCTAAAGTCACCATGAAACTGATACATTAAATAATAAGCACTACTTCATTATGCACTATTCTACTGCTTCACAAAAGGTGTTAATATTACCAGTGGCACTTACATCTGAAATCCACTTTTAAAAGAACATAACAGTATGGCTGTTGGTCGATGGAAAATGTGGCATTGTGGTATAATTAATTTGTGATATTTTGCTCATTCTTAAGTTTTACAGATTTTTGAATTAGTAGTATTAACAGTAGAACTCTCAGTATAGTTTCCAGAGCTGTATACACACAAAATTAAATGCTATGTTCACAAGTTTCTTGATACTTTGCAGTGACATCACGCTTGGGGTATTCTACATGTATTTTTATGGTGGAAATTTCAGGAGTAATCCTGCTACAGTGCACAGATGCAAACTCTGCCACAAAAGAAAACTAAAGAAAAAATACAGAATTGATTTAAACAGCATGCATACAAGTGTTCATGGTAGTATGGTTTGATCAACAAAAAAATGTGAGAGTGACTAACTAAAAAACTGTTGGCTATTGCTAGCTATAGTGACTAATTTTATGTGTGAAAGACTTGTTTCACAATACAAATCAGTGCAGTTAGTTCCAACTAAACCAGCTCTTTCTTGTCAGATTAAAGTCTAATTTGAGTAACAGAGCTTCTGACAGAGCAGTGCCTACAGTTAGCATCACACTTTCAAAGAATGTTGATGAAATCAGCTGCAAAGTATGAACATTCTGGGCTGGTGAATCACAGTATAATCACGATGCATTATTCTGCCTCCTCCTTTGGCCCTCTCTGTCACTGTATGACTGACAGATTTTTGCTTTATACAAAAAGGACTTTGTAAAGAGCAGGAAATTATCCACTTTGAGACACTCTTTGTGCGGCAACCAGCGATTAAGTCAGTTTTCACAATGACAAAGATTTGTAACAATAATACTTCCTATAACAACTAATAAAAGAATAAGAAATACCCAGAGACAGGACTATAGCGACTAACAGACTTTATTGTTGTTCTGCTTCTACTATGTAAAGGTTGAGTCCCTGAAGATTAACCTGGAAATAACCACAGAGATAAATAAAGTCAAATGTGAATGTACTTTGGGCCTTTGTGCAGAGTGTACCTGTCAATATCACGTAGATTATAGCCTGTTTTCATTTTGTTATGGAGGATTACACCGGTGCCACCCAAGCTGGCTCTCAGACCTGAATCAGAAGTGAACCTAGAGGCAGAGAGATACTTTATTGAGCCTGAAGGAAACAGTGAGGAAAAATACTTTTTAGCTATAACTTACAGATAAGATATAGCTTTGTCATAGTTTTTGAACAACTGAACCAGGAAAATGCAATCAGGAGTCGTGTTTTGTTTCATTCACACATGTTTAACACACAAACCCTGCAGGCTTTAGGCTAAGTTCTTCTCTCAAACTGAAAACACTCTGTTCCACCTTGTGATGTCATGTGGTAATACAGGAAATGTTGCACTGTACTCCTTACTTCTTCACTAGAATCATTTGGATAATTTCAGCCCTGGAATTTTCAATCTCTGTTGAATGAAAGGTAAAAGGTAGCTCTTGTCTTGAAAACTATCACTTCATGACATCACAAGGTGGAACAGAGCATTTTGAGGTTTGGAGATGCAGACAGACTAATAATAAAGGCTTGTGTGAGTGAAACAAAACACAATTCCAGGTAAATTTTTGATGAAGTCACAGCATTATAACGTGGCTAAAAGCTCACATGAGTCAATTTTGCATAATATATGACCTTGAAATGAAACAAAAACAAACAAACAAGCAAAAGAAAACTTATAGTTGTCACTAAAACTACTCTTGACACAGTTGGAGTAATTTTCTGACTCTATTGCTTTGCCATAAATGCTATTACCATTTTGTTTGATGTCTTTTTGTTCCCTATTTGTTCTCTGCTGGACGCCCCCCACCAGCTGCCACAAGTGTATAAATAAAGAAAGAATAATAAGAATGTGATACTAAAAACACTTACACGCTGTCATAGTGTGTGAGGAAATGGGAGTTGTGCTGTGGGGTCAGAGGAAATGTCCTGTGGTTTGGGGCATTGTGGAGGAATCCTGATGGCTCCTATAAAAAAGAACTTCTCTCAGATGAAAATGACACAATATTTTATAATACAATCATATCATATAAAATGTACCTGACCTTTTTCCCTGTGGTCTTCAGGAGGTTGGGGGCTTGACTCCTCCATGGAGAAGGCAGGAGAGAGCTCTAATTTGGGAAAGATTAAATAGTTAAATACTTAAAATTGAGTATGTTCTTCACCTAATGCTCCTAAATGGAGATTTCACCCTCATGTAATAGGTAACCTTCTGCCATGTTAATCATTATTTCATCTTTGCACTGTTTCTCCTTACGACCTCTTGTATATAGCTGAGATAGATTTGTATTACTGTACTTCTACGTCTACGTTCATATAATCATGCCTTCTTTGACACCAGATATTTTTGCTATCTATTTTGAATTTATTATTACCAATTATATTTTTGTTTTTCGTTATAATATATTGTGATGCGTGAATTACTGTGCTCAAATAATTTCCCTTGTGGATCAATAAAGTTTGTCTAAGTCTAAGTCTTTCTTATGATGGCACGTCCGGTTAAATGGGGATCCGATTCATTTCATTGGTAAATTTGAGAAAAGTTTTAAATATGATATAGGTTCATTTGTGTAAAATGGTCAATGTTCATGTGCAAGTCAACATTGCACCGATTCACAGCTTTATAGTCTGTACAGAACTTATCTGCTGTCAAGAGCGACAGTCCCCTGCAAATAATTCAACCCGAATAAGGTGAATTTGAAAACAGCTTATGGGGCAGCTACTTTTTAAAATTTTTAATTGTACATATAAATTTATAGTTATAATTGGTATGTCTTATATGACACCAGTCTCTTGTGTGAGCTTGTGGATCAATAAAGTTTGTCCAAGTATGCACTCACCGGACAGGCCAGAGGAGCGTTAGTGCCACGGGTGTAGCCTGTTTCTCGAGATGAATGGTTGCACAGGTTGGGGATGAAATTTGACCCCTGAAACACATTTACAGTTATAGAGCTTTTTTATTATAGTTTTTATATCATGTAGGTAGGTTTGTTTTGTGGTGTTGGAGAGCTGTTGAAGTTTACCTGCGAATGTGATGGCTCCTGGAAGTCTGTCTTCATAACAGATTTGTGGGTATATCGAGGCTCCAACTACAGTATGATAACATTATATTCATTTAAACTTAAAATGAAGGTAAATTACATATATTATAAAGCTGTAGAAAATGCCAACCGGGGTACAGGTTTTGTTTGTAAATGTGTTGAACTGCAAGTCCTCTCCTTTGGTGAAGCCTGAATCTTCTTTTAGACCAATATTTATGTTTTTTTCTGGAGACACTGAAACAAAACACATTCAAATACAAATACTTGTACTTTTAAATAAAAAAAAAAATCTGAATAATCATACCTGTTGGTACGAGAGGATGTGCCACATACAGGCTTTGGTATTCTGACTGGAAAAAGAGTTCTGTAAACATTTAATCTGAT